CTATGTTTAAAATTTGTTTTTACTTTTTTAATAAATTTAATTTAGTTTTGAAGATGAAACAGCCGAGATGGACCAATAGGTCCAATGTTGTCCCAAAATATTATGTTATGTCATGACATTGCAATAATATTTTACTAACTGTGTAAAAGTGTAATTTTATTTTAAATATTAAATTGTTTGGGAATCAATTTGGACCATGCTTTTATGAGTGCAAAGTAGAAACTATTGTTAGGAAAAGAGATAACCTGTTTTCACTGTCATAGCTCTGGTCACAGCTTAATTTGTCTACAGAAACTATAGGAAAAATTAGGTGGAAAAAACCTCCCCCTCATTAAAAAAGTTTGACTCTTTCTATTAAATATTTATGGTTTTTATTATTTAATATGTTTGCTGAAAACTGAAAAACACAGAACTGCACCTTTAAAGATTTATTGTTTAACTTCATGAAATCCTTAAATCCATTTTATTACAAATATAAAATACAAGCAAATTTTGTATACACAAACCTTGTCCATGACATTGAGGCCAGAATCAGTGTTTTTCTTAAATTTTTTGCTGGAGTGGCTGTACACAAATCTATATAAAAACATAATATTGTATTAAAAATGTATGCATATCCAATGCAAATATATGGACAGTGTCCCATTCCACTAAGATAACAGAACCAGAACGTATATGTATTTATGTAAAATATTCAAATAATAAATAATATTAATTGAAAAACAAAACAATTATGATATTCTAAATTGATGTAATCTACCTCTGTAGTAATTAGCAGTAGTATACACACACGTCGAAAGCTACCGAAATAAATATTTTAATAACTTGATTTTCCACGCAAATTATAAATCATGAAGAATAGAAAATATTTTTAAATCCATTTCTAATTTACATTTTAAAGGTGTTGAGCAACAAAGAAACCGCAAACCGTACCTAAGACCTGCTATTAAAAATTTCTGTATGTAAATTGTTTTTGTGATGGGCTAGACAGCAAAACAGCAGTTACAAGTTACAGTCAGCGAACGAGTTCGCTTATTCAAGTTATTGGGGTTGGAATAATGAGTTTCGTCTCTATACACTTTAATTTTTCCTGCTTTTCAATTTCAGACAGAAATCAAATAGTAGTAAATGGATAATTAAAGCGGAAAACATTTCACCGAATTTTCATTGCTAAATTTTATATTATTGTATAAACTGTATTCTTAGCATTATTAACAAGAACTACGTCTGCTCTAGCTAAGTGTCAACAGTAAGTTGCGCCACACCTAAAAACGTGTACAAAAATAAAATAAATAGATGAATATTAAACAACGTGTTTTCATATAACTTTCTTAATTTTAACCCAAAGAAATTTTTTTCGCTAAAGCTGTTAACATAAATGATGATACATTCCGATTATTATCAATTAATACTTTTCATCACAATAATTGCACCAAGTTTCAAAATTCTCGTATCATTTGTTAGCACAACGAAAAAAAGATTCGTGGTACAACAACACACTGAATATATGTTTGCAAGAGTTGTAGCTAGGACTTTCGTGGAGTGTTTATCGTGACATAACTAAAAAAAAATGTCTGATTGTCATTCCGAAATTTTATTTTTAAAGGAGAGTGAAGTAATGAATTTCTGACAATAAATCTATGTAGACAAACAACAATTGTAAGCACAAAGAAGAGTTTTATTGATTGTGGAACATACTACATGTTTTGACAGAACATTGGTCTGTCTTCTTCAGGTACTAAACGATACAAGGTTAGTATATAGGTACTAAAACAAAAGACACAAAGATTCAATGTGATGAAAATGATGTTAGTAGGTGACAGGATTATAGGTAAAGGTCAAGTCTAATCAAGTGTATGAGTGGTGAATAGACTTTGCCCAATATGGCCAAATATATTCCCTGTACCCCTCTCCTCTTACATAAAGGATACTACTCACTTTCTTAACACCATAGAAGACATTAATACTAACGTACAGTTACCACCCAACAGTCTTCTTTGCACGATGGATGTTTCTTCCCTTTACACCTGTATTCCACATGATGAAGGACTACAAACTCTAAAGTCCGCGTTAAATCCTTCTAACCAATCAGAATCTCAAATAAATACTTGTTGAAACATTTGTTTAACAACAAGTAAAAGCTTGGAATGGTCTATTCATTCATTGGGGTGTGTCTGTGAGCCAGACTAGTTTTGGAGAATTCCACTCCTCATCAGTGACCCTGGACACTACCGCCAATGAAATATCAGATCAAACCAATCCTTTATAGTAGTGAGGTATCGAAAATCGAACTGGTGTATTTAAGTGTCTTACACTCACAAAAAAGAAACCTATCATCCTATAGAATGGTAAAACACTTAAATACACCAGTTCGAGAATCTCAAATAGTAACTGATCTTGCCAGCCTGGTTTTAACTCTGAACAACTTCGAATTCAATAACGAGCTTTACATTCAGGTTAACATTACTGCAATGAGTACCAAAATGGCTCCCAATTGTGCCAACATTTTTATGGGGTCATATTGAAAAACAGCTTTTACAACTAAGCCTTGCAAAACCTCATACATGGAAACGTTACATAGACGACATATTTTTCATTTGGACAGGTGGTCTTAAATCACTTATATAATTTATCTCACATGCAAATTCCTTTCACAAAACAATCAAGTTTACCTGTGATTACTCGTCTACCCAGATTAACTTTCTTGATGTCACTGTTTTTCTAAGAGACGGAATTTTAAACACTGACTTGTACAAAAAACCTACAGACAGACCACAATACCTTCATTATAAAAACTGCCATCTCCTCTCACACTAAATGAAACATTACCTACAGTCAAGCTCTTAGAATAAAGAAAATATGCTCAGATGAAACAGACTACAAAAAATACAAAAAGGATCTAAAACAAAACATGTTACAAAGAGGATATAAAGAAACCGAAATCAACAGACAAATTTAAAAGGGTAACAACACTCAGCGGAAAAACATCATAAATCAGAGAAATACTAAACTTTCAAATATAATTCCTCTTATTATTACTCAGAAACGTTTCACGAATTCTGAAAAAAACAAAAACATTTTCATCTCCTACAACTAAACGATCGCCTTAAACATATATTTCCTGAAGTTTTTGTTGTCTCCTTCCGAAAAAGCAGGACTCTAAAAGATATCCTTGTTCATACAAAAGTGAATTACATCCCACCTAAAAATGGTTGTACATTTGCTGTTATGTTAAACTTATATTAAAGTTTTTCTTCATTACCCATTCAAGCCGTCTCCAGCCATTAAAAGACTATCATACTTACATCGTATTGGCGACATGAACAAAGGATGCAACAACCATCTACAAAGTATACTGTTACGACAGCGGAAGTCATGTGACGCTGGAAGCATGCGCACTGGAGTTTCTAGAAGGATCATGACTCTTCCTGGCAACTCTAGTCTTATTTTATGCGTCCTCTATTTTAGTATATAAGCCGACAGATAAATCGGAGGGAGAATGGCAGACAGGTAGTGACCGTAAGTAAAGTGCGTGATCGTTGTGAATTAAAGCGTGTGTTGAAATTAAAGTGACTATGGAAATTAAGTGTATTACAAAGTGTGTAACGAGAAAGAATAAACTAGTTTTAATTAAGAAAGAACTTGTATCGCTGAAGCTCCTCGGGAAGAATATTTACGGGAAATTATCAAACAAGCAGATACGTAACAAGGCTATTATCCCAATTCTCTTACGAAAAGGACAATTACGTAGTTAGAGAAACATCTGTTTTTCTTATTGACCAATTGGATAATAAGTAATGGCGACCACGTTCTTTACAAATGCACAGACTGCTTGCTGGCCAAGAAAGCAGGTGCAAATTTGACTTTGTGTGTATTAGTTTCTAAAAGTTTCTAATTTTTACATTTTTAGTTACTTTGATAATAATATGTAAATAATAGATAAGAAAAACAAGATTATATATATCACTCACCTGTGTAATCCTTTTTTTGCCATTGACTGTCCTTCTAAGTTAAATCTAATACTTTACGTCAATGCTACTGGTCCACATTTTTTTTTTTTTGTAAATAATACACGGAAGAACACAGAATAATTTCATGTGAACAGCTGAGAAACAGCTCTTTCTGTGAGAAATTTTCTAGCTTTCTAATCAGTGACTTGAGCCGTTAGAAATTGAACATTAGCTCCCCTACTATGCTCTTGTAGGAAAAACAATTTTCTCATCAGCTAAATTGTCAATTATCTGTAGAATCACGTAGGATGAATCATACTTTAATCAATCAATTGTATTCTAGGCTTTATATTGGTTATAACTTTAATAGAACTCTGCCTCAGAAAAATGTATTAGCAAATTGTAAATTAGAGCAAGTCAAAGGTGGGCGTGGCAAGCGGTTCTTGCATTTTCATTGATTGCTCTTTAGTTCCATATAATTGAAGGATATAAATATATTGATAGAGAGCATCAATGATAAAATTATACAAAGTATTTTACATAACATTTCGTAGTTTAAAGGGGGTGGAAAAAATCCAGAAGAGAAAACGACTCAAAAACAAATATTCAAATTCTCACACTAAGGTAATTTGAGATTGTTTTTAAATATTTTCTTATCTAATTACGAAATGAACACTTATATAATATGTTACAAACACATCCACAGAGTGTTTCTATTGAAATGGATAGTTGAGTAACTCATTTAAACACTTCATCGCGTGAAAAATGAGAACAACGAAAAATATACCAATTTCCCAAAAATGAACATTAACTAAGTGAGTGAAAAACACACAGTATGAGTCTCAGTACTACAAAAGTCATGTGATGCACAGTCTATATTGGACCTACAATACTTTCTAGATCATTCACCACACAGAATATTGGCATTTTCAGTTATCAACAGCTTATTATTCTTACCTTGATATATTGTATCTACTTCATTTGTTGAAGTGTGTAACCTGTGGACTTGAGAGGCGCCTGACTTTCTTTGTTTTCTTCGGGTATTTAAGTCGTATATTTCCATAATTCTGTCTCTCGACTCTTCTTGATCTTTACTGTGCTCGACCCCAGCAGCCAGGCTATACAAAAGAAGCCTAGACAGTTCTTGTTAACCTGACACTGTATTTGATAAATAAAAAAATTTTGAGTTTCAAACTAAACTTGTGTTTTGCTTGTTTCCCCTACTGTCCGTGTTCAACGCATTCATCGCTCCTGAACCTGCAGTTTGCGGGAACTTTAGCTTTTATTGTGGATATCAGTGAATCAATTGTAGTGATTTTTAAAGCCTTTTTTTTTCTGTCCTTCAGACACAATTTCTTAACTTCAGTGCTCTGGGCTGGTCAATACCGCTGATGAACATGCAAGTTAATATGTAAAAATAAAAATAAATATTACATGAACACAATGGTAAGAAACTATAAAAATAATCCATTAAGCACCCTGTTGCTGAAAACCTAAAGCTATTGCTTACAGTGACTAGAATTATATTTTGGAATATTATTATCAAACCGTTTAGATATATCAGTAGCAGAAGTCGAAACTCTATCTGTAAATATTCATATCAAACAATTCATTAATATAAACAAAACAAGCAATGAAAGAAATGAAAAGGATAAAAGAAAGAAAATATCACGTCAAGGTTCTGAAAAATACCCTGAAGGAGCTGTATTTGTGAGAAAGAAAAATTATGTATATCTCAACCAATGTAGATATAAATAGAAAAAAACATTTACCATTCTAAAGAATTATTCACATAGTGGTAACTCATTATATGTAGATATAAACAAAGGAACTTTCTTCCTTTAGAAATATATCGATATTAGTATTTAAAATTCAAAGTAGTCAGAGTTTAAGGTTTGAATGAACCTACTTGTGTTAACTAGAAAAAGAGTTCAAAATGTACTCATCAACGAGATGTTCATATTTCCACTCCTGCCTTCTGTACAATCTCTGCATCTGCTTTTGATTACTCAACGACCAATCTTACGATTGTTATGCTTATGTAAAAACGATTTTGTGTTAATATTGTTGCGTCAGCGAGTCAAATGACTACAGTGACGCCACGTTTCTAGAATTATCCTGTACTTTGGCGAATGTTCTAGTTCTTACTAGATATAGTGTAGGCGGGTATATATAAGAGGGGACAACGTGACGCGG